TGAGAATCCTGCTCTTCGTAAAGCATTTCGAATAGCATACCATCCAATATTAATCTTCATAGCAAGAGGGATTTGTACCCATGGTGTACGTCGATTTTCTGCAGAAGCACAAATCCATGCAATAATCTGTTCAAGTTCTTCGTTCGTAATTATTGAATGTCTGCCAGAGCGCTTTTTAGGTGTTAATCGATTTTGTATAGCATATCTAATTTGACGTCGTGTAAGATATGGCAGCTGGTCAAGAATTTCGTTATACGTATGACCTGCGTCATACAGCGTTTGGATTTGTAAACGTTGATCTCGAGTAGTCTGAGAGGACTTTGAGGGATTCGGAGGGGTAGAAGGAGGAGGAGGAGGAGGAAGAGGAGGAGGAGGAGGAGGAGGAGGCATTGTAAAATGCGCAGGATTCGAACGCGCAGAATTCGTAGAATGCGCAGAAATTGAACGCGCAGAATTCGTACTAATGCGCAGAATTCGAACGTGCAGAATTCGTAGAATGCGCAGAATTCGAACGCGTAGAATTCGTACTAATGCGCAGAAATCGAACGCGCAGAATTCGTAGAAGGATGAGCAAAATTCGTGGTAGATAGCGATAGGGATGCTAGCAGGGATGCGTATGTAAAATGAGCGTTTTGTAAGAAATTTTGACCAGGGGGGGGGTTACATTATTTAGGCCTGTAGCCGTAGTAAACTACGTTAATATTAAGGTGTGAGCTAGCAGGTACTAAGTATAAGCTAGGCACTCTAGTTCAAAATATGCAACTTACTACAGCTGTAGGCCTTATTTTTGCACCCCCCCTTGCTGAAAACGTTAGTATCTGTACGAAACGTACTACAATCAATTAAGATAAGCGTCTACTAAGTAGCCTAGATAGGACTAGCTTCTTGAATAAATTAAGTTTCTACATTTTATTAGCATCTGTAACTACTTATCTCATCTACATCTACTAAAGCAGCTTTTTAAAGTAATCAAAAGACATAATATCTAATGAAGCATCAACAGCCGCTTACCCACCCTCAATTGTTCTACATCCTATACAATTTACTATTACATAATGAACTTTTGTCGGAATTTTATGAAAAATAGCTCAAAATGCTTGCTGACGTCTGAAGATTATAGCCATACTAATTTCCTAATTAGGACTCTTGATTTAGTATCTGGTGTGCCACTCTTTTGCTCGTAGTACTGCATTGACCCGGTTATCCATTGACTTGATTAGAGAGTCGATTTTCTCCTGCGGCATAACCTCCCACGCCTCTACGATTACTCAAGCTAATTCATCATAGGCTGCTTGCGATTCTCCAAGGTCCTTAAGGTGTGGATATTGCTGGTTGATCCACTGCTTCATCCAAGCCCAGACGTGTTCAATTAGGTTCAAATCTGGAGAATAGGGCGCCTAATCAAGCACTGGTATACCCTGTTCTTCGAACCATTTAGTAACCTTTTTGGCTGTATGAATTAGGGCATTATCTTACATAAATGTTATATCTAGTTGCTAGCATCTTTCAATAGTTTGATCAAGTACATCAATATAAGAGTTGGCTGAGTATCCATTACGTTACGCCTGCTCATCACAAGTCATAATAACCAGGTCAGCTTGCATGAATGTTATACCTGGTTGCCAGCATCTTTTGATAGTTTGATTGAGTACATCAATATAAGAGTTGGCTAAGTATCTATTGCGTTGCGCCTGCTCATTACAAGTCATAATAACTAGGTCAGAACGCCCTCTAATCCAAATAGCACCCTATATCATAATGCTTATATCATGGCCTTTTTTGTACGTTTGAACAAATTAAGGATCCCATTTCTGTGTAGCTGTACGCCAGGCCCATTCGCGTTGACCTCCTTTGCCTTGTTCAACGCTCGATTCGTCAGAGAATATAATAAGTGCCCACTCTTCAACGCTCTAGTCTTTACGACTTAACACCCATTGATATCAAAGATCAACCACTTCTAGTGTCAATTCAGGTCTTTTTTTGCATTGCCATTTGCGCAGATTATACGGGAGAAGAATTCGCTTAATAGTACTATCGGAGAGCAAAATCTGTAGATCTTTGCGCATTTGCGCATATATAGACTTCGGATGAAAGCGTGCATAGCGTACAATTGTTCTTTTGTCTCTTTCGGATGTAATAGAGGGCCTGCCCGCACGCGAAACTGATTCGTGGTTGATTCGTTGTGTAGATAATTCATAGGTAGTTCGGACGGTTGAGGGCGCGAAATTAAGGATCCGGCCAATATCTGCATATTTTACACCACATTTGGCTGCACCGACTATTTCAGCTCTCTGAATAGGCGTCAAATCCGGGCCTCGAGGCCTATTAGCATCGATTTCGCTTAATGGCCTGCGTTGAGGCATAATTCGTTGATAAAGTAGGGGCGTTGTGGTGGGGCAAACGCGAAAAAACGCGAAAAACGCGAAATGAGCGAGAACTTTTGACCGGGTACTGTACCCTGGTCAACATTTCAGGGCATCAGGGCATATGGATTCGTACTTGGACTTGGTGAATAAGGATCAAGCTGCACTGGGAGCAGAAGATGGGTAGAGGCAATTCGAGCTTGGTCATTGTACATCTTCGCCGAAGCCGACGCATCTACCGAAGATCGCGGCAGGCTGAACGTGGAACGTGCAAGGACGGAGGCTTGGAGGCCCACTGGCAGGCTTGGAGAGGAACTACATCGTCACTCGCACAGTGACTTGGACGCAGAGGGAAGCAAGCAATCCAAGGAGGAAGAAATCTATATCTTGTATGACTCTCCTGTCTCTTCTGTACATATTCAACAACTGTATATGGAGATATCGGATCAAGTCCGGCGATCAGAGAACTAGACCAACTCCAGCGCTGGTGCGAAAGATGGAACAACTGGCGGAACCCTAGTCAACCCCAGCATACAGATCAACAACAATATTTATGGCTGCGACCAAGATTTCAGCAGCGATAAGAATAATTACTGCACGGTCACATCAGTAGACGCCTCAGGAGGTCTGGCAGAGCAGAGAACACATACCAATCCATTCCAAAACCTCGCCGTGTCTTCGACTCCCTTGTTCTCGCAACACAGCAAGTAGATCTGCTATCACATCCAATCTTTCGGTCAAGAGCTCGACGCGTTGGCCAATCTCGAGATAGCTCCTGACTGCTGCATACACCGGCTCCAGATGAGGTTCCGCCCACATCAACTCAGGACTGTCCAGCACAGAACCTTGGAGATGTATATTGATGCGGAGAATGAAGAGCTCGCCGATCTTCATGTTTAGCTGCCGGCGTGATAGATTGATTGATCCTGTCTGTGCGATGAGCGCTGGTAGTGGCGAGGTGTCTTCGATGGTGTCGGAGACGAGATCTTCAAACAAACTTGTTTTGACTGATTGTGCGAGGGCATGGCTGATGGCAAGCTTGATCATATGATTCTTCGGATCTCGCAGACTGATGAAATCATTATAGATTCGCGCTTGGTAGTCTTTCGTGTAGTAGAAGTTGAAGTCCTCGGTCTGCGCTGATTCGGCTGGCAAGGGGGTATCGGCAAACTTGCTCATATCTGCCAGAAATCTACGTTCCTGTGCCACTGTCATGCCCCAAATTACGACCGCCCCGTAGTCGAAAATGAAGATCTCAGGAGTGTGCACAGTTGTGGAAAGATCTGAATTGTCTCGAATATGGAGATCGTCGGTTTCTCGGTGATGCAAATCCGTTGCCGAACGCGAGGTCAAGGCGGTGCCGTCTGTCTCCTCTAAGGTGGATTGGTCTTGCTCATACTCATCTACCAAGTATATTAGATCATCCCTCCTGTGCTTGGTGTTGTCCTCCACCTCCACAGCCGAATCCGAGTATCTGCGTTCACTAATCCGTGGCGATGATGGAATCCGTTGTAACCGTTCTCGCAAGGGACTTGCACGTCGTCCCGCACCACCAGTTTTCCTTCCGTCCTTTTTCAGATAGTTATAGTCGTATGGAGAGTATAGACACTCGTCAAACAGTTTCGGATTGGCGCCTCTTGTCCTTGCCCTTGACTTCATAAACCGTATGACTCCCTCTAACCGGTATGCCTGTGCTGTACAATACGCTGTGACTCGTGGCAGGCGATCTCGATCGGCCTTGCCCAGTCTTGCTGCATCCCTTCTGGCGGTTGGATCCTTGATTCGCGTGAACTGTGAATATACATCTCTTCCACTCTCTTCGTCCGCATCCTCCACCCCCGCTTCAGGGTTTGGCAAGAGCTTCAGCTTTTGAGCATTTTTCGTTGTTCTCTGAGCACCAGTCTTCGGAGCCGCAGGTGATGTGGGCCCAGGGCTGAGAGGGGCACCAGCACTGTTTCGTCGTCGGAGCTTGCTGTTGATGGCAGAAAGCATTGGCTGCGAAGTAGGGACACTGTGCGAGGTTGTCAGCCCGCTCGAGGGTGACTGAATGGGGTGTAAGGAGGGCCCAGGAGCTGGCACCCCTTCTCGTGTAGACACGGTTGTCAATGGATTAAAGGTCACGTTCCGTTGCGCCCTGGTAGCAGATGAGCGCAACATCGATGACGGATTGGACTGTTGATGACGAGGGAGCAGAGGTGCACGTTCACTGGCTGCTGCGGGCTACACTGGGCTGGTCAGCGTAGCAAGCAGATTATTGATTCCGCAAGCATTGAATGGAAAGACCTTGCGGGCGGGGAGCACAAGGGAGCCACATTATCGTTGAGTATGTACGCTAACTTAGCCGAAATGCAAGCTGCAAGCTGCCGCCGCTGCCCGCTGCTCGCTGCCCGTTGGAGCTCCAGTTGATGCCCACTGCAGTGCAGCAAACTGAGCCACACACCCCCCCCTCCCCCACCACCACCACCGGCAGAGCAGCACCTGCGAATTGCATGTTCTGTGCTCCGCAACAATGCTTATATAAACACTAGAAATCGCTTGTGGTCTCTCACAAACACCGTCTCAAGTTCTTGATGCGACCATGAGACGACCTGACATTCAGAAAGTTGCATAATGCTTTGATTTCGCCTTGCCTGTTCCATACCACACTAAGAATCAATTCTCAGACGTCTGATAGACGCACTACTACCTCCCTCCACCTCAACCTTTTTCAAGAAACTCCCCTCTTAATAATAGTAGTTCTCGTCTGGTGTCCTTCCCCTCAACCAAGCTGGCTCGCTCCCTCTCACATAGATATCCTCGAAAAGGATCTTCGGTGTCGGTTCGGGGATTTCCATCTTCTCTGCGATTGCAACCTCCTCATCAACATGCGACCTTGCCTCCTTGTCGATTGCTTTCAGCTCATCTTCCGTCACCACCTCCCAATCCAGCAACTTCTGTTTCAGACCGGCGATAGGATCATTGGTTGATCTCATCCTCTGAATCTCCTCACGTGTTCGATAAGTTGTGCCGGGGTCAGACATCGAGTGACCTCCATACCTGTACGTGACATATTCATAGACGAGAGGGCCATTGCCGTTGCTCGTAAATTCTTTGCCGTGCTGAACTGCCGCTTTCACAGCGAGGACGTCCATTGCATTGATCTTGAGTCCCGGGATGTATTGACCACGTTTGTAGTATTCGGTCAGGGCGGAAGATCGCGCAGCCGACGTACCCATTCCATATTTGTTGTTTTCGCAGCCGAAGATGATTGGCAATGCCCAAAGCTTCGCCATGTTGAATGCTTCAAAGACTTGACCTTGATTCGAAGCACCATCACCATACAATGCCAATGTGGTATTATCTCTACCCAAATACTGATTTGCAAACGCGATGCCTGCACCCACAGGAACTTGAGCACCAACAATGCCGTTACCACCGTAGAAGCCCTTGGCGAACATGTGCATAGAGCCCCCTTTGCCATGAGCGATTCCCTCCCGGCGTCCAAGCAGTTCACCAATGATTGATCGGACAGTACCGCCCCTCATGAGGGCGAAGCCATGGCACCGATAAGCAGTGATGACATGGTCGTCCTTGGTGATGGCGTGCTCTATGCCAGCCGCCACAGCTTCCTGGCCTGTAGAAAGATGGCAGAAGCCTCGAATCTTCTTCTCCTTATACAATCGGTCGGCTGCCATTTCCATGCGTCTATTGGAAGGTGGTCTGATTAGAAAGTACATCGCCAAAGGAGGCTCATACATGAGCATACCGTATCGACACCATGTCGTAGTACATCTGTTTCAGTTCTTTCTTGGTGGTGTTTAGCGTGTACGGAGGAGGGTCGAGTTCGTAGGTCTCGAAACTCTCGTCGGACAGCTTGACTTGGAAGGGCTTATCATCTTCCTACGTCGGGTCATCAGCGTGGCTCACTCAACCCTTGACCAGCATGCAGTTGGCCGGCGGCCAATGCTTACCGAAGGGACATCTGCTTTCTCCGCATGGGACGAGGCAGCATCAGTCGTGACTGAGCGACAGGTAATACCATAAGCTTGACGCCTGGGCAGCGTTCTGGCAAATGTGGTGCCCCGAATGACCGCCTTGGAGAACATTGCGCAAATTCAATTGATCAGATAGCAAGCGATGGATCAATTGTCAAGGCGGAGCGAGTTGGTCGTTGGGGATGGAAAGACAAACGGAAGCTAAGTAAACTTACAACCGTATTTTTGACTCGGCGTTCAGCAACCATCTCCGAGCCGGAGTTCTTCCTCCTACGCCCGGAATTTCGTGTCCGGCCTTGCCAACCACGCAGTTCATCTTCTGGAGTGACAATCCGGTGGGCATGAAACATCCAATCACGACTTGAAAATGTGTAGGTCTACAGGGTATATATGTTGCTCTATTGCTACGCAAGAGTCAATTGTGGGAGCCATAGCTCCTGCTGTATTCATAGTCTCGCTGAGTTGGACCATACAATAAACTGAAATCTAGCTGCCGTACGTTGCCGTCTGCTCCGGTGTATCTGGAATTCATCGGTTGACAGCAGAAAAACCACCTCCACTTCCATTGACGAACTTGGTGCCCCTGCTGCCCTCCCTCTGCGCTCTCTTCCGTTCGTCCATTGTTCTCTCATAAGTCATCATTTCCTCCCTGTACTTCCGCTGCCACGGTTCCTGACCCCCCTCTCCGATCTCATTCCATGTCTCTCTGATCTTCGGTCCAATCTCTGCTGGTGGAATGTTATCCGCCTGAAGCTGTGGTACAAGATGTGCTGTAAATTGGTCGAACGGTGGAGTAGGTCGCGAGGGCGGCGGAGGCAGAGAAGCGTCTACAGCTGCAGACGGTAGCAGCGCTGGGGTAGTCGTCTGGTGTATAGGGGTAGGTGTATGGTGGTGGGCTTGATGCGGAGCAGGATGAGGTTGCAGCGGGACGGGTGTAGGATTGGAGGTGGACGAGGTGACACGGGTTAGGGAAGTGTGTGGGTCGAGATTCTGCACTGAAGCAGCGGGTGAGAAGGTATTGGCTGGCATGATGTGAGGCAGGCCAGAGCTATGATATGCCGGCATGGCGATAGAGGTAGCAGCTAAGGGAGTCTCGGAAGCACTGGTAGGCTTTACTGGCGTCGATGTTCGAGGTGTCCCATCACGGGCACGCTTGATGCGCAGGGGTCGCTCATCTGGCTGTTCGAGGTCAGCGTCAAGGTAACCAGATTTTCATGTACCTATAAGATACCTCCTGAACTTCATCGCTGGAGCTCATCTCGCTGCTATCATCGAACGCGAAGCTGTTGCCTTTGTTGTCTTGCACTGCTGTCATTCGACCACGCGACTGTGCGGTCATCTCGGTCATCTCGGTCATCTCGCCTGGACCGAGGCGCTTCATGGGGTTCTCCACCAGCTCTTTCATATGATTTAGCAGTATCGCACGATTCAAGCGCATCTTATCCTGGAAGCGCCTCTCTCGCTTCAACTTTTGATGGAGGTTGTCGTTGTTGGTTTCGATCTCGGAGAGGCGCCGTTTGAGGTCTATGCATTTTTGACGATATGCCATCTCCTGTGAGGGCGCAAGGGGAGAGTTTCGGTGACTCTCAGGCAAGCCGGCAACTGGACCAGTATTGACAGATGCCATTTTGGAGCAGCAAAGTCCTGTAGGTTCACTCTGTCAGTGTTTCTGCAATTCCGCACTTCACTGATTTTGCATGGAAGCTGTAAGAGTTGTTTGAGGCAGCCTCACAGGTAGGGCGTCGGTGGAACTCGGGATGCACATAAGCCCTCCAAAGGGAGAGGAAAACACTGGTCCTCGGGTGCATGGTCCGTGCGCTGTTGCGAGGCTTAGGGAACCTTGCTGGGCGGAGGATGCTCGCACTGCAAGTGATAATACCGCTGTAGTGTACCAATGATCAAGTGTGCAGCCCTTATCCTCTGTCTCCAACAACGTTATGTTTACAAATATATACAACTATCTCCAGAGCCTTGTCCAGCATACGTAATTCCCAAGCCAACTCTTCCTTGCCTTGCGTCATGTTGCTTTAAGCAGCAGAGATCATCTCCTCAGCGTACAGAAAATATCCACGGGTATATGAAAGGAAAGTCCAGCAATCGTATATCCAAACAAATCCAGTTGCCACAGCGATCAACCAACTCATGAAAAGCGCAGGCATCATCAGCTTGGAGATATTGCCAATACCGCTCATTCTTCCGTAAGAGCTCCATCATCACCAGCTTGTCGCCAATCTTTCGCCCGTTCTGTCATCCGTTTAATGCCAGGGATGCGATCGGCCCAGAGAGCTTCAGCAGGTGTTCGGAAGGTATAGCCTCTTTGAGAGGAAATGACACCTATGGACTGAAGAACCGCCTTTCGTGAATCACGAGAGAAGACGGCAGGATGACTGATCCATTCTAAAGAAGACTCGATATCCCCGTCCAGGGCAGCCATGATGCTCACGTCCACGCCATGACCAGGTCCGATAGTGCTGGTCTCCGAGTGAGGTGAAGGCTGTCGTTCCGGCGTCGAGGAGTGAGGGGGTGAAGAGGCTCCGTTTGCGCTGTTGGGAGGGTTAGGAGGTCTGGCGGTTGACGTTGGGATAGGCGGCAAGCCTCCTTTGGCAAGGCCCTTGAGTATAGTCCGCGTTTCGTGGAGAAGATGATGAGCTCGTTCGTGTTGACCACGAGATACAAGTGTCAATGCTCGACTCAACATATCACTGGCCAGTAGCTCCATCCGGCGCTGCACAATAGAAGGATGAGGTGGGATGGGAGGCGTTGTTGGCCTGCCGTTCTGCTTCGATTTGTGGTTTCCAGGAAGCATGGTAATAGCAAGCAGTGACGGCCGTGGTAATTGGGTGAGCGTACCGTCTCGAAGGATATCACCATAGGTGACATCAGCTTGGAGCAGAGGCACCTCTTCGACGCTAAGAGTACGTTGGTCGTCCGAGTCAAGAGGCCCACCTAGCGCTTCGAGCCCCGATACAATGGTCTCCCATGCATCTTGTGGGAGATGCTCCTGAGAACCTTGGTCAGGCGCGATGGCTAATTGCACAAGCACATCTCTTTTATCGCCAAACCGAAAATCTCCTAACGCTGCGTCTGCATCTTTGCCTGTTGCTCGCTTGGTGATCTGAAGAGCTCCGCTGATTTTCACAAACTTGGCCGGCGATCCTTCTGGTAGGCGGAGCTTGAGTTTCACATTCTGGTGTGAGATGGATTGGAGCGATCCAAGACAGCCAGCAACACATTCCCGCAGCATCATCCAGTCCTTCACGTAGAGGTAGGATGCTTTGGTCCGCGAAGAAAGGTCGATCATGGTGTCTGGCTTGTGCGTTAAACCTAATCCAAAGGAGTGAATAGTGACCCTAGAAAACAGTTAGCCAGGTCGACCACTTCCATACGGTGTGACAAACTTTGCAGCTTCAGCCCTTTGAACCACGAAATCAACATTTTCGGCATCTGAGGTTGACGAGTCACTGATCAGGAGAATTGTCGAGATAGGATTCGCTGCTTTTCTTTGCATCAGCAGGTCCATAGCCACATTGGCACCTTCTACCACATCCGCACGTAGACTTTTTTGGCCCACGGGCCTGATCGATGCCAGGATCTTGTTCCACCCGGTCCAAGCCTTGGTTGTCATGCCCACGAGCGGAACACCACCACCGCTTGATCCGAATGTGACAAGACCCATTCGATCTCGTTCGCCAAGGTTCTGGACGAGGAACCTCAGCGTGTCACGCAGAAGGCTGATTTTGAGCCCTTGCATAGACGAGGAGATGGGAATGACGACAACCAGGTCGATGGGAACATGGATCAAGGGTGGGATCTGCGACTCATTGGCGTTACGAGCGGAAGGGGGATAATCATTGGGCCCATTCCTCACCGAGCGGCTGACTTCCTGCGAAGAATTGACCGAGGAGACTCGCTGGCCAGTCTTCGCGGCTTTCGCGTAATCGTCTTCCTCAGGTCCCGAGTACTCTTGCTCGTAATCTTGGTGGTTTCGCATCGGCGGTTCTGGGTTGTGGACATCCAATAATGCTCGTTTCCATATCTCGAGCTGATTGTGGTTCTGGAATTGAAGGTGGAAAGATGGAAGGTCGTTGACCAATAGATTTAGGGTAAGGATTGGCTCATCTATAGAAACCACGGTCAGAAGGAGGGAAAGGCAGAAACTTGCTAGAGAACGTACCTGATGAGGACTCCACCTGCTTAAGGTGCTTTTTGATTAGAATCGACCCTTTTAGAGTACACCTGGTAGTTTTCCGCTTCGAGGAGTCGTCCACAAACTGGCCTTGGGCGGCTTTTTTCTCCTTGACACATATCAGCATCTCGGCGAAGAGGTAGCACTCCAGCTCCTGCCACGACTGGCGATCCTTTCCAACATGGATTGTTCCGTGCAGACGTAGTTTGCCAAACCTGCAAAGCCTTGGTCAGCATTTCAACCAAGAATACGAAGGAACTTTGTTACCGTGAAAATTCGAGGCCGTGCCAGTTATCCACTCGAGTCCGCAATTCTTCCGTAATGTCTTCCAGAGATTCGCGGGGCTCGAATGAGACAGCCCGTGAATGATTAGTTGCGCTGACAGGAGACTTGATCGAGCTATATGTATCGTCTTGGGGAAGTGGTGGGACCGGTGGAGGAGTCTTGATATCTTCTGGATCCGGCTGCCACTTGCCTGTGGGTATCTCGATTGTCACTAAACATGTCAAGCTTTGTTGCTGTCGAGAACGATTAAGTGTTGGGAACTCGCTACGCACGGTGACAATAGGTGGTGGGATAGGGTTCTTCATCGCGGTTGGTCGCGTATTGCTGAGGTCTGTTTCCATGGACTGCACATCATAATCATGACGTCTTGCGGAATCCGTGTGAACATCGGCAAAATCAGTCGTGGAGACAGTAGCAGCGCCACTTTCGTTTCTGGAGTGGGCCTGTCCTCCAACACCCAGCCGCTCAATTCTTTCCCGCTGATCATCACGGCTTTCCCGCTGGCTTTGTTCCCGGCTGTCGCGGTAGCCCGCACGATGATCGCTGGAGCGATAATCGCGCGAATGCTGGTTTGACGGTTGGCCATCCCATGGCCCGGGAGCACTTTGAGAGCTCCTGGAATCGCTTTGGGTAACAGAACGTACAATGCTGCTGAGTTTTTCTAGGTGAATGTTAGATCTCAGCTGGTCAGAACGGCACAATACGCGTACCTATGTCCAGCACATTTCCACCCCGAGTCGTGTCCAGGCCTAGGGGCGCGTTACATGTCGGGCAGTATTGCGAATCAAACTCTTTGATATACTCGTAGAAGCACGCCTCATGTGATACATGGCCGCAAGAGAACTGTAGAACTCTTTCGCCACGTAGTGTATGCTCCAAGGGCTCTTCGCAGACAGCACACTCGCTGCCAATGAAAGTTCTTTCGCGCCGTGTGCGAGGACGCTCGCTATTAAGCATGCCTGCCACAGTCCTGCCGGCTCTCCAGTTAAACGAAGTTTGGAAGGCGTTTGGATAGGCGTATGACGGCGAATGGGAAGTCGGAAGAGTTTGTCTTTTTGTCGTCACTGCGGCTGAGCCCGTGGGCTTTCGTACCGATGAGGCTGAATCGGGCTGACGACGGTAATTACGATACGCCGTAATTCCTGTTGATGTCTCAGATTGAGGTGAAGCAAAGTCTCGGTAGGTGCCAGGCGGTGGTTCAAAGGCTGCGAGCAATGTTCATGCCTCAGTCAGTGACTTGCTTTGACCAAAGCCGCCCGTATCCGTTGGTAATCATTCAGTTACTAAATTGTCTTACCAGGATTCTCAGACTGTGGAGCTTGATTTGCGGCTGAATGGGGCCTTCTCTGCGGTCTTTGTCTAGGACGGTGGAGCAGGCCCAGAGTGTAAAGGTTTTCTGTTGTCTCCGGCATATACAAGCCTGAAGTCGTGCGCAGAGGTTGCTTCGACATAGAAAGGAACCAGGGGATTCTTTCTCCAGAGCTTAACCAACATGAACCAAACAAGGTCGATGAAAGGAGCCAATTGCATGCAGAGATGAGTTGGGCAGCAGGGATCTCACTTTGGAGAGAGCCAATCCCAAGGTGAAGGTGGAAACCTTGAGCAGACAGTCAAATGCTCTCTTCCCAGGACCAACTTGAGCTGTCTTCAAAGCAGGCGATGTGGAGACACGATTTATTTCAACAGACAATTTAATCTGGGTCCGCACGAGGGATGGTGCTTCGTAACGGAGAGACCATCCCCAGGCTAGCATACGGCAAGCCTAAAGCCTATTCCTATCCTTTCCCATGCGTGGTTAGCTGACGAGCTGGCTTCATCTTATTGGGGGCCGCGATGGCGTTGGTGGCAGTACAGGGGTGGCAGAGACGATTCGGGCAGTTCTGAAAGTTCTTGTACAAGTTGGTGCCAGCGGTCTGTTATGATTGGTTCAGGAGGAAGAAGGGGTCGGGAGAGCTAGTGACAGAGATGGCCCCCCGGGGTGGTGGCATACATAGTAAGGGACTCGAAAACTTTTCGCTTCAATCGATCCACAGCTTTCTTGGACTTAAGATTTTTGGCGTTGTTTCCATGGATTCAAGATCTCAAGCTTCGAAAACGCCAGTTAGAAGTCGACTTTATCTATGCTTTCAAGCCACGATCGTCGAGCTGGATTTCTGGTACTACGCCCATCGAAGATCCAACCAGACCAAAGGAACTTCTATTCATAACAATTAGCGAGTTCAGTCATACTCCTCGCCTACTTGCATATTGACTGGGAGAGTTCTTAATTGAAGGACCCAGAAACTCTATGGGGCTAGAGAAACGTTCGAGCTGCCGGGGAGATAGGCAGTGCATGCACCGTCGTGACATCTGTGGTTATGATCCCTGCTGCGTGGGCGCCCAGGGGTTTTCTCTCGAAGTGGTGGCTGTTTAGTTGGGTCACAGCCACGGACCTGCTTTTCCGCACCAAGAGAGAGGTGTACCATCTTCGAGTTCATATAGTTCAGGTATTATAGTATGATAGAACAATTGCAAGAGCAGTGTGTGCAACAGTGACTTCCAACCCCTCCCTCACCTTACGCTTTGGTTGCAATAAAACACTGGGATAAGAATCACCAACAGCGCATGCATGTCAACAATAATGCCAATTTCATGGACGGATGTACCCTATCGTTGCGATTTGCGAGTCTGCGCAGCACATTGCATTATTCAAGCACTACCCCTAGTGCTAGGTGAAGGGGGAAGCGGATTGTTTTCTTGACCTTTCTAAAACACTGTTGCTCTTTGGGGCCAACATTGAAGGGACGTCAGTGGTCACTACCAGATCGACCATGATCGATCCAATGTTACTGTATTATTTACTCCACAATCAATAGTGAGGACTGGCGATGCGCAAGCAGATTCTCCACACCATAAGTAGCGTTCATCCAGCAAGTGGAGGACCAATGAAGACGGGGGAAGGACGTGACATTCTGCAGTACTTCTTCCAACGCTATGAACCCCTAAAATATGGTGGATGAGCTCGTGGATTCGTGTCGCCATAGTGAAGCTCCTTTCAACCACGTGTCAGCTGGTTAGTTGACGTAGCGCTGGGTCATGGCTGTTTCCGAGGCCAAAACCGATAACGTCAAGCCTGTGGTGAAAAGGATCTTCTCCGCGCTGTTCTGGTGATCACCCATTAATCACATCGATCGTACTACGTAGTACAAAATGTGGTGGACAAACCTTGCTGGTTTCCCAACACCGACCCTCCTCTTCACAAGCATATGGGTTGGAGTCATCTCACCGCTGAGACCATTGAGCTTTAAAGACAATGAGACGCCCGCTTTTCGCATCCTGTAGTTGTGCTGTATCAACTTTTCCACTGATCACAGTCAGCTATCGACACATTGAGCGTGCGAGAGGGTATTAGTTGCTACGTAATGACCCCAGAAAATGAGGAAAATGTTGTGTAACGTTAGACTTTGCGCCTGACATGGAAGTGCACGTAATAAAACATCGGAACATTTCCCAGATTGCCGGTGCAAATCCTCGATGCTGAGCGCAGGGATGGCAAGGATTAATAGGCCACTGCATGTGATCATGGATGTAGGGATCTCCTGAAGCGGCAGAGCATCGCGTACTCCGTACTGTGGTGGGATGGTGATCGCACACCTGATCAAGTTAAATCCATCGACTCACTAATTACAAGCTGTCGGCCCCGACGGATGTGCGATCTTCGAGAAGCATTTCAAGTGTGGATAGAAAAAGAGATCAACAAAGTTTTCTCACACGAGATCGTCAGGGAGCAAAGTACACCCACGTGTTGGAAAGCAACCGTCCTGTCCCCACAAATTACATAGTACAAGATTTACAACTCCCATCAATTTCCAAGAGCAATGGAGAGTTCTCAGAGGAAATTGACCAGGGACCTAGATTTTTGGGGTCCCCCTTGTGAACTGCGGTGTTTAGCGACGTCGATGCTTGCTCATGTCGGCATACACCATGCTTTGGTTCATGTATATGTGAGTCACCGTACGTGCAGTAATTCCTGCATCAGGCGACAGTAGTGATAGATGCAGCCTTTTGTTGGTCTCACGGCATATCCTCTTGATGTTACGCGTTTTCTACGGGAGTGCAGGTGTCTTGTGCAGAAAAGTTTGGCACCTGACGAGCAGCATCTAACCTACTAGTAATATCCACCACTCTGTCGTAAAATGCACTCTTTTTCTAATTGGTCAAAGTAACCGCTAGCGTCTACTCAAAACGACATAAGATTTGAATGGACGGATATAACTTGATAGCGGCTGTTTAAGGTGCGCTTATAGCGCGGCAGCGGCTGCAGCAACCAATTAGAAAAAGAGTGCATTTTATGACAGAGTGGTGGATAGGTGCCAGTAACGCAACAGTACATGAATGCAATATTCCTTCCCCCTAACAGCCCTAAAAGCTCTAACTTTGATCGCAATTCCATTAAAGATTTCTAGAAATTTGTCTCCCTCCACAATCAGGAGTTTGAATATCCCAAAATTATAGAGATACTGAGAGCAGCTTTCCAATAACTTGTTGCATTTTGGGTACTGTTACCTTACTGGTCTACTTATGTTATTACTATTCAATTATACTCCGTAACGTAGTTTGCCAATGCAACCGCAGTGTATCCCTACAGCCAAGAGTCGGGCAAGCGCTCACCTCGAGTCGCATGTGCCTACATCTTAGGCAGTCATCCGTGTTCTTAGATTGCTCACTACATACCCGGTTGCTGAGAAGCGGGGACAACACAGATTCATATTTGCCGCTCCTGCTTTAATTGTCTCAAGGGCTCAACCTGATCGACATGTATCTTCTAGCGAAGGTGCAGTCACTATCCAATTTTGGAGCTTTCTTTGATATCTATTTGAGAACTCACAGGGAAGTTTTCCCTGCAGACGTCTGTGAAAGTAAGCGAGGTTGACACCACCAGTCTGGGTTATATAAAAAGTTGAGGCATGGATTAGGCGTGCGCTACAGCTATGAATAGCTGCCAGCAATGGGAAGAACCATATGCGCCTTCGTGTTTGCTACGGGAAACTTATGGGTAGCTTTAGACACATCAACGCCAGACAGACGAGAACCATATGCATGTTAATGTATGCTACAGGAAACTCACGGCTAGCTTTAGACGCATTAATGCCAGACAGAGACGAGACATCACCACTGTAGGAAAAGGTGGGGTTTGATCGAGACGCTACTAGTATTGTTAAGCCAGGCTGAGCATATTATTAGCAGAGTTCTGGATGGTACAGGGGATCATGCCTCTTTGTCTAGTATCTTCTCTATCTATCGGCTTCGCCAATTTGGTCTTGGGCCAACCTAACAAAAGAGCATCCAAGCGTCCCCCTGGTACATATTATACATATGGTCATGGCAGGTGACGATCGACTTTCGACCAGAGTACAAAACTCCCAGAAATGCCAAGCCAGTCACTGAGTATAAAATCATCTGGATAGTACCATCTCCCTTTGCTGTACAGCCGCCATATTTGTGCTATGTTGCAGTGCGATGCGACATCTGATGCTCTGGAGATGATGCTTCTGCAAACATGTCATATTCACGAGTAATACAAGAACTCGCAACCATGGGAGCTAAAGCCAGCACACCAATTGTGGGAGGGACCTCGTGTATGAGCAGGTCAAAGCACCCACGGTTTGGTAAACGAGTTAAGAGCACCAAAGGTCCTAGCCTAGGTAGCGCCCTGGAGGCTCGCCTTTGCCTCATGGCCCCTCGTAGAATGCCAGTGCAGGACCACTGTGGTGGCTGGGCAGAGGAGGCGAGAGATGTCCAGAATACCCATCAGAGCACTTTTCCATCTCACGTTTGTATGGCGGCGCCAACCACAAACCACCACCAATGTGAGTAAGGCATGATGAGCACCGTACATGCTTGATATGTATCCATCACAATGATGATTAATGCACGTCTCCCTGGCGAATGCCGGAAGACACTTACTACCCCCGTTACTGGATCATTTTTGCCCCGTCCAACAGGACATTCCCTTTCGTAGCCATGTAATTGCTCAACACGGTTGCATAATCAGAGGAGTTGCAATCTGGTTATCATTGAGACCTTATATAATAGATTACTCGCCTCGACGTCTTGGTTGCCCGTAACATTCGCTGTCGGTTCAGGCTTGCCCATGCTCAGCACCTCTTGCCCGATTTTTTGGAAATTCTCCTTGCGCGACCTCTGAGCACATAGGTTTCCAAGATTGTCTTCTTGAGCTCCTCCCAACCGTGCACTGGTGTATCTTTCCTTGCAACTCACAACAGAGCCGCTGCATCTAGGGCGTGAAGACATTCCCCGTCGAGCGCAGTCGAGAGACTCATCAAGACAAGCCAGATGGCAAGCTGAGCCCTCTCCTTATCGCAGACTTTGTGTGTGCAGACAGGAGTCAAGTAGATGGACCGCCAAAGCCTCGATGCTAGCATACGGTGGATAGGAATACCAAGATTGTGCAATCCCCCTCTTACCTTGACGAAGTGTTTGATGCCGCGTAGATTTCGGTCGACTGCTTCTATATTGCCGAAGGCTAGCTCATTTCATGCCACGAACGCGGCGGTCATTGTGGTGTTATCCGTCGCTGCAAACTCGTTGTCTCGGCATGCAGAGATGAGGAACCTGACGGCTTGTCCGTGCTGTGACAAAGCAACCCCATGGTCTTTTGCCTTTGCAAGAACTATCACTGCTGCCATCGCTGCGAGATAGCCTTGGAAGCAGCCGCATCGTGAATGACATAACCGAGTAAAGTGGAGACTTGCGATCTCGGGAACAAGTGGCGCTGCGGTCCTCAATATGTGCGTCCCAACTTAATGGGTAGTGGGCTACCAATAGGTTAGCTTTTGCGCAGTATCGAGGCGTTTGTGCGTTCAGTCAAGAACGACGTAGAGATAGGCAAAAGACAATTCTCTCAAGGGTCATATGTTGGTGTCTCAAGCGGCCATTTCATCCTCCTGCCTAGAACATCTGGTCTGATGCAATAGATACCTATGGCTATTCAGTTGGACTTGAGTTACAGTATCAACCTAGCTCCTGTGCGCTATATCTATAGCTATTCAGCACAGATTTGACACTATCAAATGCATTCTAAGAATGCTCCGGCCACGTTCCAAACGCGTTCCAAACGCACTCAGAATGCACTTGAACTTCAACCGGACAAGGTAGTCCTGGATCAGTGATCCTTTTGAGTTGCAGAGTAAGCTATTTTTAAAGTACAGAGCCGTGCATCAAAGGTAGTCAGTACCGTGGAAGCCAATAAAGTGCCGGATGCAGCAACTGACAAAGTCTACACCATGTTTGTCCAATAAACATGCCCTACTACAGCTAGCCAGTAAGTATTTGTAGGTCAAGTCAACCAATCCAGCAAAGCCTCAAAAGTGGTATTCGCTCTCTCGAAAACTGCACCAAAACACCTTGTCCGCCAAGCCCAAATTTCAAGCAGCTGGAACAGCAGTACCCCCAGAAGCATCCGCTTCGGTATTCTCCGTTTCTGCCCAAGAACCCCAAAGACCTCGCTTGCCTCGTATTCGTATTGGACCGCCAATACTTTTGTCGCTCTGATCCATCTTCACCGCGTCCTTGGTGGCCAAAACCAGCATTTCGAAGAACATCTTCGTGGCATCCTCCTTGCTTGCGCGTCCTTCTGGCAGCAAGTCCTGAAAGAGGACAGATTTCTTGGCCTGAGATGCTGGGCTACCGTCCGCATTCTCGCCACCAAAGCGGTCTCGAAGGAGATGCACAGCATGCTTCGTGCCCAGCGATACTGGGCCGCTGTCTGCTGGATGTAGTAGCGGAACAGTGGTGTCGTCGAAATGATCATAATCGCCACCACCAATCCCTTCGTCTTCGCCGTCATTCGGGCTGCGAGCATTTTCTGGCTCGGCAGGATCGCTCATGACGGGTCTTACTCCGTCGTCAGCCGGTAACTCAATCTGCGTCTGGTCCTGGTTCAAAGTAGAGTCTCCACCAATGGCAATGCCTTCATCCACCGGGAGCTCGTCTTCTCCAAATTCTAGTCTTGGAACTTTATCAGCGTGCTCGTCTCCGCTCACATCCGCAATGCCGCTATCTCGTTTTCTTTTAAGATCTGGGGGACCTCTGATAACATCAATCGAGAGAATACCGCGAAGCTCTGGCGCCCAGCCCCGCGATCTGCCCTCTCCCATGATGTTTGACACAAATTCGCCATTTTTCTGCATATTCATCAAGCTTAGCAGGACCGGATCTTTGGGGAGAAATGACGCAGGCTTCAGGATTTTGGAACGATCTGCTTGCTGGTCCTTTATCTGCTGGCTCTTAAGCACTGTCTGTACATCTGGGACCAGTGCTTTTCGCTTTTTGCTGCGCTGTGGTTGGCGGGCAGCAACTTCTTCCTCAGCCTCCTCCTCATTTGCAAAGGTTTGATCGAGCTGGCGAACAAGATCTGATGGTGCTTCTGACAACGGTGATTGTGATTCGCGTTGGCGCTGTTCGTCATTTTCGCCCTGCAGTCCTATTGTATCATCGCCTCCAAAGCCAATGCTATTGTCCTGGCCAAGAAAGTTGTCAATGTTGTCATGAGCCGTCGTTGCTTGCAGGCTTGGTCCGTCGGGCATGGGCACATCCTCACCCAGATCAAGGTCTAAATCATCACCATCCAGTAGCTTGTTATCATCACTAAACATATCTGCACCAACCGGCCTCGACGGAGGCGCATTCCTTCCAACCTCAACACTGATACTCGTGTCATTATTATCACCGAGTGGGAGATCTTCGCCGAGGTCTAGTTCAAGTCCAGTATCGTCCTCCAGCTGTGGTCGATCTTCGGGGGTAAGCCGTGACTGGGTACTAGTCTCTGGATTTAGTGTGCTGCTCCAATCCATCCCAAAATCTTGTCTCTTGTCATTAGGTCCTCCAAGATCTAGCGGCTGTGAAAAGAGTGCAGACATATCAAAATTCGTAAAGATATCGGCCTCAGTCAGAACATCGGGTAGCTCAAGACCACCTGGGACAACCATCGAGGTAGGTAGATCATTATTGTTCGATATTCGGAAAGCCTGCGAGACGTCAGCAGTGCCATCGAGTCGGATTTCAGGTATGTACCATCTTGATCTTCATTAATGCTTCATTACAATCATCCAAAAGATACCGTGTTTTCCGGCTGTATATTCGTACCACGCCCAGGAGTAGTTGAGCACTTAATCGAAGGGCCATTGGCGCTTGACCTTGGTCGACGATGGCACCGACACTGCTCTGAATGTCTGACTGTAGAACATGCGACTTGGACAGTTTCTTTTCGAGGTTGGCCGACAGCCAGACTCGAGCCAAAGGCCCAGTCTTAGACAACAGGTTCTCCGAATAAAACATGGCTGGTGCGGGCGGTATATCGTCAGGTAGTGGAGACTGCCAGTGTGGTGCGAGCCGTCAGCTCCAAATCGTAGGTTTTCGGTGGCAGTCGCGACTTGCGACGCGCACAATCAAATGTGATAGACGCACAGTAATGCGCAAGCAATATCAAATCCTTGAGGTGTCCCAAAAAGGTGAGGCGATCGCGATTATGCGATAATCATGACGACGGCGATAATTGGGAGGAGGGTTGGCGAGGCGCGTGGTGGAAGCTGTGTTGATTTACTAAGTTAGTACAGAATGATAGAGAATGGAGGAGGTTGGCGCGAGTCGGCTCGGAAAAACAAAAGGCCAATGACAGACCCCAGATTTTAGATTTTGTCGTCTGCGGCTGCGCCAGGAGTTATAGGACGGCAAAGCTCAACTTGCACTTCTCTACCATATTCGACAAACTGCACGCTATCTAGAACCCGCCCCTCTGCATCAGCAAGGGAACCCTTCACCGTCGGGAAGGCACAGCGCTGGATAGGAGAGATACCGCATGCGAACCATTAGACTGCATTGATGCAAGTAAAGAGACAGCTATCACCAAAACCAATGAGATCGCATTCGATCCATGACTATTTCACGTGGAGGAGGAGCCTGTCAGACTAAATGTCAGGTTTCCGCGGGGAGGCCATGATACAATGTCAAGGGCACCATCACCCTCCCTGCCTTTGCACAATGACTCGTCAGCCACGTTGTCTTCGCGGACCCCTACGTCTTCGGTATAACTGCCCCCCTATGCGCTGAGGCAGCGTGAAATGATGCTGCGGAGCGTCGTCCTTTTCTCTGCTAATACAGGCTCACTAGTCGATAACATCTACCTACTCCCTCCTCGATGCTGAAGAGACAGCGATTCGCTTGGACACATCTTTGGCCTTGGGTCTTTCGCCCTCGGAGGCGGAGGCTCGGCTGATCAAGAATGGCCCGAATGAGTTACCACACGAGGAACCAGAACCATTATGGCTACGATTCCTCAAACAGTTTAAGGAGACCTTGATTTTGCTTCTTCTTGCATCGGCCGGTGTATCTTTTGTGATGGGCAACCTGGACGACGCTGTCAGCATTACACTTGCAGTCACTATTGTCGTAACAGTTGGCTTTGTTCAAGAGTATAGATCAGAAAAATCGCTAGAAGCTTTGAGCCGCCTCGTTCCACATTATGCACATATTAGAAGAGGGGGATCACGGTATCAGCGTTCATCATCTTCATATAGCGCGCCAAGGAGCAGCTCGATTGAAATGGAACCTTTAACAAATGGATCTGCTTCTGGGCCGGACCAGACATCTTTTACCGTGCTAGCAGCTCAGCTAGTTACTGGAGACCTGGTGTTGTTTTCTACTGGTGATCGCATACCCGCAGATATCCGAATTACTCATGCAGCGGACTTGACCATTGATGAATCGAACCTTACGGGCGAAAATGAGCCTGTGATCAAGGTCGCAGCGATTCTCGGGAAAGATAAGCCTACTCGGTCGAATTCGAACTCGCCCCCTCGAACGCCAATGTTCGCTTCGCCTGCGGCAGGAACGGTTGGTGCGGATGTGCGCCTCAACGATCGACACAACATCGCGTTCATGGGTACACTCGTGCGCTCCGGTTATGGAGAAGGTATTGTAATTGCTACAGGATCCAAGACGGAATTTGGGACCATTTCACTCTCTTTGCAAGGCATTGAAGCTCCGAGGACGCCACTCCAATTGTCCATGGACCAACTCGGGAAGCAGCTTAGCTACATTTCCTTTGCTATTATTGGCGTAATCGTGTTGCTCGGGCTGTTGCAAGGGAAGAAGCTTCTGGATTTGTTCACCATCGCGGTATCACTCGCGGTTGCAGCCATTCCCGAGGGCCTGCCCATCATCGTCACTGTCACATTAGCCCTAGGAGTTCTACGCATGGCAAAGCGTGGCGCTATTGTTCGAAAGCTACCCAGTGTTGAAACTCTTGGTTCTGTGAACGTGGTCTGCAGTGACAAAACAGGGACGCTCACTTTGAATCATATGACGGTTACGAAGATGTGGCATTTCGACGCCGGAATGCCTTTCGAAGTCGACAAGGAGACTCTCAACTCGCCTGGTCCAGCCACCAGAGCCGTATTCCGCGTCGGAAACATTGCCAACAATGCTAGACTGTCGAGCGCTAGCGCCAATTCGCCTGCCACCGCTGCATCTGCTGCAGTTCTGTCATCAACCCAGGATCAATCGACAAGCAGCGCCAAAAGCCGATGGGTTGGCCAACCGACGGATGTGGCAGTTCTAGACCTGCTGGATGCATTTGGCGAGGACGATGTCCGTGAACGTATTGGTGCGCGCATCGCCGAGACCCCTTTTAGCTCGGAGCGGAAATGGATGGGTGCGGTCATTGGGAGTGCCGTAGGTGATGCTGCGAGCGCATCAAATAGCGGCCCCGAGGTAGCATACATCAAAGGAGCTCTAGAGCAGGTACTGCAGAGATGCGATAGCTATCTTACCAAAGATGGACGTGAAATCATCCTGGACGAAGCGCGTCGGAAAGAAGCCATGAGTGCTGCCAACTCGATGGCTGACGAAGGCCTTCGAGTGATTGGCTTTGCCAGCGGCACACGTCCGAAGCGATCCGCCATCTCCAGCCGCAGCAGCACTCCTCTCCTGACCGTGCAGAATGCTCAAGGTCGTCCAGAAAAAGGTCAGGAAGACGATACTCCATATTCAGGACTCGTGTTTGCTGGTATGGTGGGCATGAAGGATCCTCCTCGGAAAGACGTGCACCGATCGATCAAACGGCTGATGAGAGGTGGCGTCAAAGTTATCATGATCACCGGTGACGCTGAGACCACGGCTGTTGCCATTGCCAAAAAACTCGGAATGCCCATCAATACCACTACACCGGGTGTAAGACCTGTGTTGCGAGGTGATGAGCTTGACCGGATGAGTGAGCGTGAGCTTGCCGAAGCCATTGTGCAGACGTCGATATTTGCTCGTACAAGTCCTGAGCATAAAATGAAGATCATCAATGCGCTGCAGTCTCGTGGAGATGTTGTTGCCATGACGGGCGACGGGGTTAATGATGCGCCGGCGCTGAAGAAAGCAGACATTGGCATTTCCATGGGTCTGTTGGGTACCGACGTGGCCAAGGAGGCAGCAGACATGATTCTCACGGACGATGACTTCTCCACCATCCTTCGTGCCATCGAACAGGGCAAAGGCATTTTCTACAACATACAGAACTTTATCACCTTCCAGCTCAGCACCAGCGTCGCGGCGTTATCATTAGTACTTGTCAGCACGGCATTTGGATTCAAGAATCCTCTAAACGCCATGCAAATCTTGTGGATCAGTGAGCCACCCTTCCTAGGTCCTGCTCATCCAACCTGCTTCTGACTATATCACTTATCACAGACATCCTCATGGACGGACCGCCCGCCCAATCTCTCGGCGTCGAGCCCGTCGACCCACACATCATGCACCTACCACCGCGGCCCAAATCCGCCAGCGTGCTGACCAAACCGCTCCTCCGCCGCGTGCTCACCTCGGCCAGCATCATCATGCTCGGCACGCTCGCCGTCTACATGCACGAAATGGTCGACGAACCCTCTTTGCTCTCCTCGGCTCCGTCGTCCTCAACCTACACCTCCTCCCTCGGCTCCATCCACCACCCCCACCACCACAACAACAACAAATCCTCCCCATCCCCAACAACACCAAGAACAACACCAACAACCGAAGATGCGTGGGAGGAGCGGGGGTGGGGGTGCGGGTGGGTTGAGGGGCGTGGGCTATTCGGAGAGCGTGTGAGGTGGTGGGTTCTGGGGGGCTATACTGGAGGGGGTGGAGGTGGAGGTGGTGGAGGAGAAAGGAGGAGGGGAAGGGGCTAGCGGCTTTTGCGTATGTATATGCATATGGGCAGTTGGTTGGTGGGCGGATGTGCGATTATTGCTACGAGCTATGTAAGAGAAGGCCCTTTCGGTGCATGCACGTGAGAAAGGATCTGGGCACAGGATAACTATCTATCTAATCTTCTTTTCTTCGCTTGCGAGAATCTCTAGCTGTACAGATGTATCATTACTGGAAAGGCCCTCTCTCTCTCTCTCTCTCTCTCTCTCTCTCTCTCTCTCTCTCTCTCTCTCTCTCTCTCTCTCTCTCTCTCTCTCTCTCTCTCTCTCTCTCTCTCTCTCTCTCTCTCTCTCTCTCTCTCTCTCTCTCTCTCTCTCTCTCTCTCTCTCTCTCTCTCTCTCTCTCTCTCTCTCTCTCTCTCTCTCTCTCTCTCTCTCTCTCTCTCTCTCTCTATACATGATGTTTTTTTTCATCGTAGATTTGCTCGCCTCCTGGGATGCTAGGATCGTGGGATCAGCAAATGCAAGGTGTTGTTGTTGTTGTTGTTGTTGTTGTTGTTGTTGTTGTTGTTGTTGTTGTTGTTGTGTTATCCAGCTGTCTCTGGGGGCCATTTGGGCACCAGAGACAAATGGAGGGACACTCGGTTACCGGTTGGTGCTGTTAATCGTCATGTTAAGCCTCGCGTCCCGAGCGCCGGGACTTGGTTCTCGCAGGAGTCGAGGTTGGGGGTGCTAGTCCCTCCCTCCCTTTATTACCAAGCGAAAGAGCGCTGGTTTCGCTCTACCGGGCTGTCTGCAGATTTTGTCTGTGGAGGGAAAAAAAAACACTCGGTCAGGGCATCCCGAATGTGGCGACGCGACACGACTGGATCAGGCATCTTTAAGCCAGGTGCCGTCGCTCTGGCGGCCTTCCCTGCCAGGTCCTTCGCGCAGATACGTCTCGGCCAGACCGGCCTTGGGATCCTCGTCCGGATAGCCCCTGGAGCGCCGCACCTTCAGCACCTCCAGCCGCAGCCGGCGGGGACACTCGCGACGCAGCTCCATGGCCTCTTCACCACGGCAGAGCGGGTCGGTCAGCAACAGTCCCACCGCTTCCTGCGGGCACGACGCGTGCGGATCGTGTACCGAAGCCGCGTAGTCGGCGTCGCGGAGCTCCTTCCACCTCCTGCGCAGGTCGCCGAAGACGGCCTCGGTGTCGACCTCGCGGCCAAAGGTCACGCTGACTTTTTTGCCGATGCGTGGTATGAAGCGCGGGAACTGGCGCGTCTCGTGCATGATGTCGTCGGTGCCTTCGATGAACATGGGCACCACGTCGGGGCATTCGGCTGGTTCGAGGATCAGTCTCGCGACGCCCCACTTGAAGTAGCGCATGCTCTTGTCGCGGCTCTGGTGGATCATGCCTTCGGGGAAGATGTGGATCCAGCTGTTGGAATTGCAGGCGTAGCGGGAGGGAGCGAGGTAGTGGCGGTGGTCGTCGAGGCCGGAAGGATATGAAGGTGGAGGGCTGATGTCGGAGAAAGGGTCAACGCAATCGTGCGGCCAGGAGCTGCGGAAGGTTTCTGTCTTTTCGAGTCCGCGCCTGATGTGCGGGTTCCAGCTCGATTGGCGCGCGAAGATGGAGGAGAGGAGGCGGACACCCTCGGTCAGGGTGGGCTGCGCGATGCCGCCATGCTTGGAGTGGGCCAGGCGGTGGGTGGGCAGCGTCTGGCCGAGGGTGAAGAAGTGGCTGCGGAAGGCGTTGGTGAAGCAGATGTCGTGGCTGCCGAAGATCCAGCGGTGGTTCATGTAGCCATGGAAGGCGGCGAAGGAGAGAGGCAGCACCCCCCAAATCAGCGGATCGTCGAGCACGCTGACATGGTTGGACACCGTCACCAGCCCTCTCCGCCGCGCCTTGTAATCCGAACGGGATACGAGGAGATCGAGGAAGCGAGGAAGCCCATGGACTTCGGTCTTGTTGAATGCGAACAGGAATAGGCGGGAGATAGCGGCGACGGAGAAGATGGTCTGGTGGGATAAGGAGCGCCAGAAGAAGCTTGGGACTTCGGTATTGGGGTCCAGGTCGTTGTGGGGATTCATTGGGACAGGTGGGAAAGAGTGTGTTCCGCGCTGTTAGACGAGAGCAATTCAAAAGAGGGAAGAAAGTAAAGCCTCGACACGTTCCAGCGTCCTGCGATGCGCCATTTCCTGCTTCTAGGTTACGCAGGGTCTGTCGTCGAATGGTCGTGAACAGCAGGGATTTCTAGATTCTAATTGCCAATTGATGATGCGGTCCAGAAAGAAGAAGCTTGCCAAGCAAGTTTTCTCAGCGAACAAATTTGGAGCCGGCATTTACAGTACTTACAGTCCAATACATATGTTCTGTATGTAAACTGTCCATGACATGTCCATGACATGTCCATGACATTTTGATGCAGCTCGGGTGACAGACACCACCTCCTCCTCTTCCCAATTTCGACATCTGATCTCTGATCTCTGATCCAAGGAGACCACCCATCCATCTGCCAGCATGCGAGCAAGCAGTCCCCTGTTAGGAGGACTTCTCTGGTCAGCCCTCTACCAATCAGAACCCCAGCTTCCATTCTGACCATCCTTCTCCCCCCAGGAAACGGCCATGGCGACTATCGAGTCCCCAGAAAGCGCGCCAGCGTAAACGGTTACGGCTGGTGGACAAGGTGGTCGACACCCTAAGCGCGGCGCTGCAGCGGAACGGGGCCATGAGCGCAAAGGCCATCGACCGGTGGTACAGCGAGATGCCGAGGGAGGAGGAGATGCTCCCAAAGGACAAATACACCATCTTCGATCGCAAGGAGAAGAGATATCGGAAAGGGATACACAGTAGGGGCCCCGGAATTCAGAATTCAGAATCCAGAATCTAGATTGGGGGATGGAAGCAGGCTCCGGCAGAAAGATGCTAACATGAACGTTTTTTCTAACAGAGTTGCCCAAGTGGACCAGAGTCAGTCAACGGGTCAATCCGCCAGGCTTTTAGTTGTGATGCAGCAGTATACGGCGTTGGATGGGCGTTCAGGGCGCCGAGTGATATCGAGTATCGAGCCTCACAGCCGTCTCTCATCGGCCTTCAGCATGAAATAGGGGATAACCCGAATTCTCGTTAACTTGAGTGCTGGACTTCTACAATCCCTTCCCCAGAATGAATATAATTCCCAATCACCGGAGCACACACACACAGATGTCCTGGCTCAATCTGGCACATGTCGTCCAAGAAGCCCCAAAATACCCATCTCAGCCACGTCCAGCCCGCAACAATCAGCAAAGCCATTGAATCATTACCTTAATCCATAGAGACCTTCTCCTGCTCCACCAACAGCCCTATAGACGGCTGAAAATTGCACGCTTTGCGATGATAGCGCACCTCTTTCCAGCCTGTGGCCTGTCTTGGCCCCAATAACGCATCCCGCAACAGATATACCTGGCATCCGGAACACAGAAGCGGGTGCATTTTGATACTGATGATGAGGGATAGATCAGAGATTTCATCGTCTCGTCTAGTCTACACAATTATTTTAAACCTCGGTAGCGAAATTGTGTCGATGCTCCTTTCTGCGCGCACAGAGAAAGATCCTATCTCTGGCGGATGACAGCCCATATTGATCGTGCCCCTTCGAAGTTCTAGAGACGGTCACACTCGAGTTCAGCATCCGTGTCCTGTACTAGCCACTACATACCTAGCTACCTACCTTCACCTATCTATTTCTGCCTTTACCATCGCTCCATCCCATCCCACCTTACTTCAACCACACTTATTTCACACCGACTTCCCTCTCCGCCTCCTTCACCCTCTCCGCCTCCTTCACCCTCTCCGCCCACGTCTCGCCCTCCTCATCTCCTTCTTTCCCCCCTCCCTTCTCCACCCACCCAAAAGCCGTCAACCAGTGCGCCCACTCCCCCTCTTCAAATCTGCGATACGCCTCCCGCTCCAGGCTCCTCGTCGCGACCTCACAATCTACGTGGATATCCTCAATCAGCGACTCTTTACTGACGTAGTCGTATTCCGGCCGGATGAAGCCGAGGATCAGCAGGTTGAGCGGCGCGCCGTAGAAATCGGCGGGTAAGGATGCGGGCTGCTTCGGGAGGACGTGGATTTCGACGCTGCGCGTCTTGTTGGCGTAGAAGGGGTTGTAGCCTATGCTGAGGACGGCCGGGTGGGTAGACGGCGACGATGTGGCGGGGGAGGGAGATGGGGATGCTGAGGGGCTGCTGGTGCTCGAGGTGTCTTCTGGTGGGGGAGTGGGCAGGAGCAGTCCGACGAGGCCGTCATACATGCCGGTGGTGAGGTCCGGGTATTGGTCCAGCGGGCCCGGAGGGATGTTCGCGGTCGGGATGCCGAGCTAGATGGGTGGGGAAAATGCATGTGTCAGCAAAGGGGGTCCTTCCCACAGAATGGTCTGTCCTCAGACACTACTAATCAGACACACAGATGTAGGTGAAGAGAAAGGCGAAAGGATGTGTTGGCAGCTGATGCAGTGGGTGAGAGAAGATCATCTGCCGAAGCCTCTTGGGCTCATATCATTCGCGGATGGGAGAGCGTGACGGCAGGACTTCGTTCTTAGAATAGAAGGTGTGGGCTGGCTTGAATGTGAAGAAGCCTGTAGGTGGTGTGCACGAATCCCCTTGGAATGCATCCTGGGGGGGGGGGCG